AAAAAGAAACTGCAAAATTTATAAAACAGTATTTATTAGCAATTTTAATGTGGTTATTAATGTTATAAAGAGGGATAATCCCCCTCGATTCCAAATCATTGAGGCTAATTTCTAGCCATGGAATAATGGCGCGGTTATTAATGTTGCATACAAACAAACAATTCTATTCACAAACTTTATATTTTCTGTTAAACCTGTTTTCTAAACACACAAACAAAATGGAAAGTTGACGGATAAAAAACAATCTTTTAACAATAAGAATGTTTAGACATCATAAATAAATAATAAATATTTTTCTTTTATGTGTAAACAAACATAACACTTTTCTCTATATTTAATAGGAAAACTTGCTCAATTTAATATTTACTTACCTTTTTGCCAAAACTTCCAATATTTTTCTCATACTTATTACAAATACATAATATAACCAAAAAAAACGTTATGCTAAACAAACGTGAGTCGTGAATTTCAGTGTGGAGAAGTTAGTAAAAAATTTAAAGACACTAGATTTTACATAGTGAAAAAACTTGTAACAAACGTAACAAACTTAAAGTTACTTCCTTTTCCTCACCCCGTTCTTCATGTGTCTGGACAAGCTACATCCCCTCCCTGTTGCGAATCTGGCAATGCTAGTTGCACAACCATGGTTATAAACGTAGAAAGAGCTCGTCAAATATTCGGTAAATGTGTGAAATATTTGTACATTATCATTTGCTATGTCTGTAAGTTATATCATGCAAACGATGTGCAGATGTGACATATAAACGCCTGACATATATCTCCTCAATACTTGCCAATAGGCTCATTTAGCAAATATTTTTAAAATTCATAATCAGAAAGTACAGATCATAGTTACTTAATATGCAAAAAATCAGAATTTTTTTCAACAATTGCTCCCTCAAAATAATGAACGAAAACGGAACGCGAGAAAACGCACGGAAGCCATATTGTGACGTCATACCACTCGTTAGCTGCTAGCACACATGAGTCACTCATATATCATTTGATATATCTAGTTCTAGAAGCACACCAAAATAAACAAAGCTAAACTATCGAACCTTATTACAAATTTTGTTGGTGAAAAAAAAATCGATTTTTCAAAACGTTAACTATAATAGACTCTTTTAGTATGACATCACATATTTAGGCAACCCGCAACAAATTGTCATGGTAGAAATTATACAGACCGAATCTGGCCTTTGTGTACTATTTACATAGATACTATAAACATAAACAACTTCAAATTAATTTATTTTTACAAGGATTTAGAAGTATTTAAGAACAACGAACTCGTGTTTCTTAAAATAGATACACTAATGTGCATAAAACTTACAAAAAACGATATAAAAGAATGTTCCTAAATTTAAATAAAGTAAAATTTAACATTAGCCGTGTTATTCCTAATGCGCATTCTCGGAAAGATAGCTACATACCAGGTGATGTCTTGTTGATAAGTCATCATTAGCTTATTTTCTCTTCTTTTGTTTAATCTTGCCTTTTTCTAGTTCTACTAAGTATTTTTATTATTTTTCTTGGTGCTATGCTGTGTCAGTGAATTTTTTACTTCAAGTAGTATATTATAGACGTACTCTTAACCATAACCAAACTTTCCTTGAATGATATCCCGCTGCGAGGCTACTTCGCTTACATGAAATTATCTTTAATGCGCATGCTCAGTAACATTGAAATAATTTTTTACTTATTAATTACTATAAAAGTCAATATTGTTCTATAAATTTAAATATATATGTATAAATATTATAATTTTTTTAGTTTGTCACTTTGAAACTTCTTAAATATATCTAATATTGCCAGAATATCGTGATATTTAAGATCATGACAAAGCACACATTTTTTTGTCTAAAGTACATACGGTCCAAAATCGATCTAGTAAAAATATTGAGAAATGTGCACTATGGTGTTGCCTATTATTTGGCGTATGTGTCGTCACTACTAAAAAGTATATTGTAGACCTTTATGTAAGAAGAGAATAAGCGCCAATACAATAACTTGTTCAGGAGAAAAAAAAATAATCTTTTTTTATTTTAATATTTAATTTCATTTGGCAAAGTAAATTTAATATTCGCATGTAAATAAAAGTAAAATATTCGTATAGATAATGATGATATGGCCAAAATATTATTTATGATTTGCAAGAATGAGAGATGTAAACAAGAGCGTAGCCAGGATTTTTTCCAGGGGATGACAAATAAAAAATATAAACTACTTATAAAAAAATTGTTTTATTTAAACATTTGAGAACGTTAAAATAAATTGGTTGCAATGCAAATGCATTTTTGTTCTTCACAACCTGCTACGATAGAAAATTTGACAATTTCGATTCCCGGTGGTTAACACATGTAACATTATTTTACACAAAAATGGAACATTCTACCGATATGAACCAAGGGCACCTTTCTTTACTAAAAAAAAAATACTTTTAGTAGCGGACTAAACACGTAAGAGTTAAACTAGTTACCAAATGTCATAAATTTTTCCCAATTGATTTCGGAGTTATTTAGAAAAAAGTATCATTTAAGTGGTTATAAGTTCCTTGGGAAGAATTTTTGGACTTCTTCGACATTGAACACCCTGTAAAAATATTGCCCCCTAATTTCGGGACACCCTGTATTTAAGAGATTAAGTTATGAATTAAATATTGCTGGATGTGCACAATGTCAACCGCTTGCTTGAAGTGTTAATAGTGATTGTCCATTAGGGCAGATTCATTTTCTTTAATATGTTTTTATTTACCATTCACATAACATCGACATGCACCATCCACACGATAAGGCATTTGTTTATATTTAACAAATATGTAAACCTACACGCTTTAGCAGTTTGGACCATTGAGTCATTCTACCATACTGCATTTGTTTATATTTGGCAAATATTTGGCAAGTGACCGCATTATCTGGAGCCAACTTTAGATGTTCATGTACTATTAGTTATTTCTTGGTTCAAAATATCGGAAGGTTAGCACAAAATAGTTACTCACCTCTTGGGTACAGACAACTCCATTTTCTGCTAGTTCTTTTAATCTGCGGAGCATATCGAGGGCTTCGTCATCAAACCCAGCGGCTTCACAGCACACCGCAGTGTTGATCACGTAGACGGGATCATCGGGGGCTAGTTCTAGAGCCCGGTGCAGAGCTCTGACTGCGTTTTCGGCATCTTTAAGTTCCATAAGGCAAGCTACACAAGAGTACTGGTAATGTATATTAATAATGTATAGGATGTTTTAAAAAAAATGTAAAAAAATAATACAAAAATGTATTCCTAAAAATAAAGAATTATGCTCGTATGTATGTCCGGAAATGCCTTTTCTCAAATTTTGTGTTAAAATTTTCGTGAAAATTATATAAAAAAATGGTGTCATCTCTTTCAGGTAGGACATGTTTTCGAAAAAATTGCAAAATGTTATTTTACAATTTACTTTTCTTAATGATACGCACATACCAACACAAATGTCGAAAGATCTCTTTTAAATGTTATTACATTTAAAAAACAGTTCCTACGAATTCGTTTCGTACACAGAGTAAAAATTAAAAAACCGATTGGTAAATAAGACATTTTTATCCACAATCACCTTATAATCGGACTTTTATCCACACAGATGAACCGCCTAAATTGATACATACTTTATCCACTAGTGAAATTAAGTAACTTTATTTCACTAGTAGGATAATGAAAAATAATAAACCTACAATAAATCAAATTTAATTTATTTACTTATTAACAGACAGTAAAAATCTTTGTGTGCATCTAACCTTTAATACTAATTATTAGGGCTGTCAGAACTGAGCCGGGGGACATAGGCGTACGCAGAATTTATTAAAAAGCAACAAATTAAATTGTCTACAAAACACCACCACAAACACCAACGGATAGGAATTGATTATGCAACTTCCGCACGATAACAAAATCAACAATATACTAACGTGACGTGAGCGTGAAAAGCATTCTGAGGCAACGGCTCATGCATGTCTCGGTTGACCCGCTTGGCACGCCATTGAATTGCGACTCTCCTGTGACAGCCCTGCTAATAATGAATCATTTGACAAAAAAATTAAAGTATTTTTATGCTTCAGAAAAACAGCATACTTCTTTATAAGAACACACGATAATGAACTAATTTAATTAATTAATAAATCAGTAATAAATCTTTTATTAAGACAAAAAAATCTATTTTGTACGTCACGAAACTATGTATTGTCATATGCATGTCAAGAAGATTTTTTAAATTATATTTTCTAGAAAACGGTACCATTTCTGTGTGATTTGCCCTGTCTTTCAGAAAATGCTAGTATTTTTGCAAAAATCTCAGTGAATCTCCTTCCCTGAATACAATGGCTGTCGGTGAAAATTAATATTCTGATAAAGAAACATGGGACCATACTGTCGTATTTTTTAGGGAATTATTTCTATGCTCACAAAGAGAACTTTCATAACGTAAACATTTGGAACGGAATTTGCGAAAAAAAGGTATTGCCGGCCCTGAGATTTCGAAAAATGGCTCAAATATTTGTGCAAAACATTTTCAAAATATCAGCTGATAGAAACAGACGGTTTTTTTTCGGTTTCAACAACCTTATGAAAAAGGAATAATTTTCGAAAACTGAAAAAGCGGCTCTCTTTTTGCATGGAAACAGATTCAATACTTTGAAGTATACTGAACTGTTGAACAGACGTTCGAAAATGTCCTGAACGGAAGTAAGTTTTATAGATACAAATAAATTCAAAGCAATTGATTATGGGTGTGATTGACGGGAATCCGAGACAGAAACTCCTGTTACAGACACATATCTTCCAGTTTCCTGGATAGAAACCCAATTAGAGCAGCCCATTAAATATTTATTCAGACAAACACATTACTTTTTTTTCAGTAAATGTTCCAGCCTTTATTATACATATTTATAAGAAACCGTGCTATTTATTTTCCAAACCATTATCCATAATTTCCAATCAAATCCTTTGTACGTAAATACGTTTCCTGATTTATGGATAGGCTCGTGCGTGTTCTGTTTTTAAAAAGGGGCACAAATTGCAGGCGATACAGAATATTTGAAATTATTATTTACGAAACATATTCATTTTTACACAAAAAACTTATTTATTCCTATTGTATCTAATCTAGTGTGTGTTAGTCACCGAATTTATGGCTGAAACATTGGATCAACGAAGTCAGATGGATGTGATCTACACAGATTTCTCCAAAATATTCGATAAATTAGGTCACAGTATACTGCCATGCAGGGTTCAATATTTTAGCATCAGTAAACTTCTTTTACACTTGTTGAAATCATATCTTTCCGATCGAGTTCAATTTGTATATTGCCCTGGTTACATATCGATAGATTCAATCAAACATCAGGCGTGCCTCAGGGTTCGATACTTGGCCCGCTGTTTCTTATTCATTCCATTAACGATATCGCAAATAATTTTTATATCCACACGGACAGAGGTGCGAAAAGTGGTGTAAATAATAATTTGAATATATTGTCATTTTTTATTACTATTTATTATGTATACAGACATTCTCTTTTTGTTTTGTTTTTCATTTGTTTTTTCGTTCATTGCATTGTATTTGTTTTAACACACTTTACAGTTTTGTTTGTGTCCCACTTGAGATTCAATACGAGTTGTATCCACTTTGACAAACAACCCCTCCTCTACCCGAAGCAAAAGTTTTTTGGCAAATACGCGCTTTAATTTTTGGAATGCCTTAAATTAGATTACGCTGAAATGTAACATCTCCCTCATCAGCGAAACGGCGAAAATGAATAATTTACGCGAACTGTAACAAAAGTAATATTACGAAGGCAGATGGAAAGAGATATACGAAAATATAAATAATAATAGCATACACCTACGTACTTTGAAAAACATAATTTAATTTCGAGAACGACACTGAAGCGCAATGAATAACGTTAAGATATGGACCATTTTCCAAGCTTTTCCCCAAATCCACGAAGTCTTTGATGTATCTACTGATACCTATTTATTTTTGTATAGATATCACATTTCTCCACACATTTCAAAGTTGTTGATTTTCCACGTAGACTTTCAACACCTGGGACATTAAAGCAAGGATTTCCATTTAAAGTAAAATGGAAATACCTTTTTGCTAATATTCCTTATTTCATCTCGGTCTGGCATTGATCAGAGCGGGCGTAAACAGTATCATATATTTCTCTCTCGACTTTATCGGCACAAAGAAGGTATCACAACATAAATGAAACGGCCTTGCCGATGTCAGATGTATTTGAATTAGTATTAAAAGCGTTACTCTGTATTTTGAAATGATAAATATTCTTTATGTCAAAAAGATTTTAAAATACGATCGCAATAGATTGTCGAACATGAGATATTTCACCAACAGCATAAAGAGTGTCCCAAAGGAAATGCAGAAGTTCATATGAGGAAAAAAGATTTTATTAATTAAAAAGTTGGCATGTTTTTAAATGGTAGACATAATTTTCCGAATTTCTGCCTTTAAGTCGAGAATGGTATTCATTCGAGCAGAACAAACTTTGGACTTTACCAATCCCCACAGGAAAAAGTCGCATGGCATAAGATCGCATGCTCTCGGTGCCAAAGTCACTTCGCTGTTACATGAGAGGAGTCATCCAGCCGTAACAAATGGATAGTTTCACGTGCCGTATGGCGGTAGGTGCCGTCCTGCTGGAACCACACGTCATCCAAATCCATGCGATCCAAATGAGGCCACAAAAATATCAATAGCATCTCTTGATATCGTTCTCCATTGAGTCACTTTATTCCCAGCCTCATTTTCAAAAGAGAGCGGACCAATCACCACACTAGTGTAAAATCCACACCACACTGTCACTCTTTGGATATACAGTGGTCGTTCTTCAATGACCAGAAGATTGTCTGCTCCAAATCTTGTCTGCAACCGAAACTGTTTGTTCAAATTTGGCATAATCTTTTCATTCGGGGCGTTCCTTCTACCGAAATTTTCACGTAATTTGCGCACAGTCTCAACTACACACTCTTTGTACTTGTAATGAGTTTTCCATTTTGTCCAAAGGCAACTTGTTTTCTACAACATGTGACTGCACAATGCTGCCAACTCTTCGGAATGAAAATGGTGCACAATTCAAATCCTGCGTAACTTTTGAGACACCCTTTATCTGTACAAAATGGACGAAACCTAAGACTTTTGAGGAGTTTATCTTATTGTAAAAAGTGACTAGAACGTCGAAGGTTTAATTTCTGCGGAAAATAAAATAAAAAATATACCGAATTTAATCAAGGATGTTGCGACATATTTCGGGACCGATTCCTCTTTGCAGAATGAATCACGAAAAACATTTATCTTTCTAAGAATCTTCACAAATTTAATGTAAAACACAGGTCTATTGTTCGAAAACCATTGAAGATATAGAGTTCAAAATTGTTAGTGTCACGTTTTAGATGTCATATTATTTTACGTAGCATTTCTGTTAATTCAGGCATTTTTCCAATTTGTTTGAAAATAACTTCTGTAACACCGGTGTATAAGAAAGGCGATTCAAATGATATTGACAATTATCGGCCGGTTTCAGTTTGGAGTATTATCTCAAAAATAATAGAAACAATTCGACATAAAATGATAACTATTTTTCTAAATAAGTATAACATATTGACAGAATGCCAACGTTTTCGAGAGAACCACTCTACTGAAACTGCTAATAGGTATTCAGTTTATGCAGTATGTATATCACGAGTTGGATAAGGGAATGCATGTACATAGTAAGATTATTTTTTGACCTTTTGACATTTATTTCTAACAAAATATATTGTATGCATTAGGATTTAGAGGGAACCTCCTCAGGTGGACAGAATCTTGTTCTATCCAATTGTAGTATATGTGTGAAAATTAAAAATACATATTCTCCTGACCATGCAATGAGCATTGGTGTTCCGCAGGGATCAGGATCAATACTCGAGCCACTAATTTTTTCCTTGTAAGTTAATGAGCCTTATATATCCAACTAGCCCTGCGGCTATTTGTCAATATTAAATATAGGAAAAACAGAAAGCATCTACTTTTCTAAACGTTTTATAATACCAGATAACTTGCAATACGACATGGTTCTGACTGAACCTGTAAAGTTTCTGGGGACAGTTGTTGACAGTAAACTTGAGTGGCATCATCATATAAATCAAGTATGGAAAAAATTAAATAGTGCATATTTTGCGTTAAATACTTTAAAACAAGTATTTGAGCCGCATGTTTTATTAACTACATATTATGCTTTGGTATATTCGCATCTCTCTTATAACTTTGTAATTTGGGAGAGAAGCACTATGATAGACAGAGTTTTTATTCTTCAAAAACGTTTAACTGCTAATTTTTTATACAGGGTGGCCAAATGAAAACGAAACAGAGCCATTTTCAGGAACTGCGTCAAGATTGTAGAAAAACGCTCAGACCCGTCGATTTTAGATTAAAGGGGGACATTCTTTGCTGGTATTTTTGACTCCGCCACTTTCACCCCCAAGCAAGGGTAAGCATCACCCCAAAATATTTAAATGGCATTGGGGGTTGAGTAATATTTCTTTTGAAAGCTCTTACAATTCTCTTTACAACAGACTTTAAATTTTATAATTCCGCCCAATACTTTGAAAAAAATTTACATTTTAAAATTTAAATTATGTTTAGTTGCTTACTTACTACTTAGTTGATTAAATGTTCAAACTGATGACCGCCCGCTTCCATACAAGAATAAAGATTTTGTTCGAAACGTTCGCGCACATTCCGAAGCATTTCCGGAGTGATTCGACGGCATTCGTCGACGATTCTTTGACGCAAATCTTCCAGCGACGCTGGCTGTGTTTTATAGATTTTACTTTTTAGGTATCCCCACAAAAAGAAATCAAGGGGCGATAAATCCGGTGATCGTGGAGGCCACTCAATGCTGCCTCTTCTCCCAATCCAATTCCGTAGAAAACGTTGGTCCAAATACTGACGGACAATTAACGCATAATGCGGAGGAGCACCGTCCTGTTGAAAAATCAAATGATCTTCATCATACTCTGGAACATTTTCAATAATATCAGTCAAGGCAGGGTCAATAGCGTCTTCCAGTAATTGCAAATACATTTGGCCAGTCAAATTACCAGGTAGAAAAAAAGGACCCACCAGCCGGTCACCGAAAATTCCAGCCCATACATTTAATTTTTCCGGTTGCTGTGTATGCACCTCGTGAAAAACTCTTGGGTTTGAATCGGACCAATAGCGGCAATTGTGACGATTTACCGTCCCGTTCAAGAAAAAACTGCATTCATCAGAAAAACAGATGTTAAAAAGGAACTGTGGATCGTTCCCTGCTCGCTCACTCATTATTTCGCAAAATTGCAAACGGCGGTCATAATCATCCTCATGAAGTTCCTGGACTAAATGTATTTTGTATGGATGGAATTTATTCTTCTTCAAAATGGTTTGTATGCTAGTTCGATTGATCCCAGACACAGATGCCAGCTGCCTCGTACTTAATGTAGGATCAAGATGAACTTGTCCCAAAACTGCAACTTCACTAGCTTCATTAACTATAGGTTTTTCAATTTCTCGTTTTTTATTGGCTACGTTCCCTGTCTCTTGAAATTTTTTTACTAACTCTAGAACATACTTCCTCCTGACATGTCGATCTTGATGTTGTTCATTAAATAGCTGAGCTGTTCTATTCGCACATTTATTGTTCATAAAGTAAAGCGAAATGATATCTACCCTTTCCGCAATGGAATAAACCATAGTGTTTAATTTTCAAAAACACAATTAAATAAACTAAACCAACGCTTCCAAATAATACTAGAAAATAATTTGGAATCCACTAATTTTACGTTCATTGTGTGTATATAGCCTTCATTTCTGTTTTTTACAATTGTGTTTTCTTTTTACGAAAGTGATAACAAATCGCCAAAAACCAATGTAACGCAAGAAATACTAAATTTATACCATTGGCGTACTTAACTCGAATGACACATTTTTACTGTTACTAATTGTATGTACATTCAACTTTAAAATCAAAATTCTTAATAACTACTGGGCGGAATTCTAAAATTTAAAGTCTTTTGTAAAGAGAATTTTAAGAGCTTTCAAAAGAAATATTACTCAACCCTCAATGCCATTTAAATATTTTAGGGTGATGCTTACCCTTGCTTGGGGGTGAAAGTGGCGGAGTCAAAAATACCAGCAAAGAATATTCCCCTTCAATCTAAAATCGACGGGTCTGAGCGTTTTTCTACAATCTTGACGCAGTTCCTGAAAATGCCTCTGTTTCGTTTTCATTTGGCCACCCTGTATATCTACCCGTAGCACTTGTAAGCCGTGTTTCACTACTAATGATATTTTGACAATGCCCTGCACTTATATTGTATATAACATAGGAAAATTCATAAGATTCAAATTGAACAAACTGAATACTGACGATTGCTACCACGAATAATATTCGACATGGTGGTATGTTACCTTATTACTCGGGCATTAAAATATAACAAATTTCCACAATATATTAAGGATGTAGAAAACACATAATCAATTCAAATTTAAAGAAATTTTTAATATCTGAATGTTTTTATTCAGTTGAAGAATTTTTAAATTAACATAGTTTCTCCTTTTTTTGTAATTTGTTGGTGTAGTACAGTCAACCTGTGTTTACTGTTTGTGTTTTACAATGTCTTTCTCTGTTATCTTGAATATTTTTCATTGTAAATGCATGACGTAACATTTAAAAGGTGCTATTTTTGTTCGGAAATAAGTTACTATTTTATGATGAGGTCGGCGGAAATAGTTATTTTTAATTCTAGACTCATTGCTTTTGTATTCAGGAATAGGTATATCATTTTTTTACAAGCCCTATCCTGAATGAGAAGACTTCATAATTATGTTTGAAATGATATTTTTAATGTCTTGAAATATTGCTAAAATTGGCGAAAAATTAGTAAAAATTTGGATATTTAATTTAAGATAATTGAAAATGTATAGTAAAAATTTTAGTATACACACATCTAACCTCAGATTTAGTACAGAACTGTTATAAATGGTGACAAGCCACGTGACCCCCCCCTCTCCACAATTATTAAATATCTGTGTAAACTTTCCTGCCAGTTTTCGCTTAAATGAAAAAGAATGTTAATGCCAATCATATACATATATCATAGAAGAAAGAAGAAAACACCTGTATCTCTTAACTAGCCAAGCTACCGTAATGTATATTCAACACTATTCGATTCAGTCGAACAGGATGCTTTAAACACTTTCCGCCTATCTCGGAAAAATAAGACAAAAAGTATCAAGCTCGGCATCTTTTGGTCCGCTTCCGGCTCAGAAATCTCTGCCTCTCTATAATTGAATTGGAATAACTTAGATAAGGGAACGAGATCCACTGTACTCACATGCAAGAACAGCGAAGCAATCGGCGACGTCAGGCCTGAGATTCACCGCGGCGCAAATGAAGTTGAAGGCAGACGCAGGTTGAGACGTCGCGAGATGGGCCAGCCCCAAATTGAACAGCGTCTTCCAGTTCAGCGGGGACACCCACAGGGCCCTCTTCAGACAGCTGATCGCCTGAAATCAATATTAATTACACACATTGTTTGGAAAGTTGCATAAATTATTAGAAATTCTTGAATACTTTGAAGCATAGTAACTGTTTTGAAATTAAGTTAATGAAGTGTAATGTATAGTAATGTTGATTTTTTTATACATTGTGTCCCGAAATTAGAGGGCTATATTTCTACAGGGTATTCCATGTCGAAAAAGATTACTTTTCCTTTATATAAACATTGGTCCAAAAATTCTTCCTAAGGAAGCTATAGCCACTTAAAGGGACCACTCTGATGATGATTTTTTCTAAATAACTCCGAAACCAGTTGAGTTAAACTTATGAAATTTGGTAACTAGCTTAACT